ATATCCCAAGGCATACATGTATTGCACAACTAATCTATAATACTTCTATATTGTATTAATTATGACACTGACCCTGTTATTAATATGAAATGAATGCATGCCTACTTTACAAAAACTAAATAAATTTAATTTTAAAAGTATGACTCTTACTCAGAGTGTTTTTGCCCAGTTGTGTTTATAGTTGTATATCAAAAATGGTTTTGATATACTTAGTTCACTATAAACAATGCTCTGATACCAATCTATCACACCCCCAAACCAGAATGGCGGAAACGTTCGGGGGTGGAGGACGTCATGTCAAGTATCATAACAATTCAATAGTATAGAAAGTACACACCACCATAATATAAATATATTTGAAAAGTTTACAGGATTGTATGTGTTACATGTTTGCAAAAGAAATCAAATACAATATGGTGACTCGAAATATGTTACTAACACCACCGCGTTAGTCTTCAAAAGTAGTTGCTACCTGGTTTAGCGGTTTCCTGAGAATACAAGTTATTTCAAAGAAAAAGTGTCAACATTTAAGTTGGTGAGTTGATAAGTAGGAAAATCCTATATTTTCCTAAATGTGAAATGCAGTCTCAAATTACCAAGACCGTAACCTGTAAGCAATTATGACATGCTAAAAAGAAGATGTATAGTTTTATTGTTAAGTAAAACTAGTTGTGGAAGTGTTTATCCTGAGTTTTTGATTATGCTGATAATACCCTAGAATATAGTTATTACCCCCAAGCATGATTGAGTTATGTATTACTACGTGCATGAGTCATTGTTTCCGCGTGTTGTGAGTTCCTCATAACCATACTGGACGCAGTACTTGTGTTGACATTTGTCACCCCTAATGACAGGCTGTAGCTAATAGTCAGGGTGCGGAGTCGTCAGCCCCGTATAGATCTATACACACTTGTCACGCTCTCCCTCCAAGAGACTCTGGTTATAGGTGGGGACTTTCGTTTGGTACAAACAAAGCCATATGACACCACATGATTGCCAACAACGAGTTCACGAGTAATATGATGAAAAATCGTTTGTATGAAATGATTTTCTTTTCTACCGTGTTACAAAGACGTGATGATGAGTTGAGTTTTCTTGTAAAAGCATCAAGTTATAGTTGAAATGGTTACCCTTGATACGACGTAGTATGCAAACGTATAAATAAAACATATTTCTATTTATAAAACGTATTGTATCACAAGAGGGTAAAGTTGTGTTGTGAGGTATTTTGCATGATAATAACTTCATAAGATAGTTAAAACAACAGTATGAAAAGTATAGCAAAAGATCGATGTTTCACACGATTTTAGTCATGTGTTTACTTGTATTCCCCCCCCCCCTTAAAAGTGTATAAAAGCATTTACAAAACATTTGAAAATATAGTTATAGGGGTATGAACTCACCTGATTGATTGAAGAAAGCGAGATGAAAATCGAGTAGAACTTCGACTCGGAAAAGTTGATTTTCTCGGGATTCTCGGGAAACTCGGGAATGCGAAACCTTCCTTCGGTACTTGAAGGTGAAAACTGGGGCTTTAGGAGGGTCTCGGGGGCTTAAATGCAGAGTTTCAGGGAACTGAGCAATGAAACTCGGAGCCCTTAAATCTATTTATAGGGGAATTTATGGTGTGCCACGTCGTGGCTAAGGCTTGCCACGTTGTGGGGAGCAAGTCTTATCCTCTTCCATTGAATGGACGCCCTCAGTCACTTGCCGGGTCACGACAAAATTGTGCCACATCGTGGCAAAGCTGACAGCCTCGGATTTCGGTCCTCGAAATTGTAAAATCAGTAACTTTCGCATACGAGCTCCGTTTTCAACGTTCTTTATATGCACGCGTAGCTGAAAATATGCTCTACAACTCTTGTTTAGACTTCATTGGCTAATTTTGACGTTATTGTTAATTATTTATTTTTAACAGGCCGGGACACGAAAATTCCGTTAAAAATCCATAACTTCTTCATCCGATGTCCGTTTTCATCAAACTTTTCATCATTGCACTACTATTGTTGAGACCTTAGATTCCCATTTAGGTTGTTTTGGCCAAAAGTCTCTTGATCTCTATTTCGAGTTTTTAGCTGTCTACTGCTATATCCGGATCTTGGAAAAATCATAACTTCTTCATACGGAGTCAGATTTGGACGTTCTTTTTATGTACGCTTACGGTTTAATATTATCTACAACTTTCATTTAGATATTTAAGGCTAAAACCTATTGTATTGAAACTTCGTGCTTTTCGTTTAATCGGTGTTGCCGGTTTTGTCGGGAATTTTAGAATTGTTATAACTTCCTCGTTATAACTCGGATTTTTGTGTTCTTTATATGTATGAAAACCTTGTTTCGATTACTACCACTTGATCTAATCCAACTAAGATTTTATTAAAGTTATATTTTAACCTAAATTTGACTGGTTTTACATTACATTGTCTCTAAATATCGGGTTGTCACAGAGTTGAATTGACTGGTTTGCTCAGTTGAATTGATAATTTTGACTAGTTTAACTTTTAATTTAACCAAGTTTTACTAAGGGGTATTTTGGGTATTTTGAATGGTATTTGAGATTTGGCCATTTGGATGAATAGATGACGGTTAGAGCTGAGATTCAAAGTCGGTACCTCATCAGCTATTCTTCAGACAACGACATTAGTTTTTCCTCACTGTACTTACGGGTCAAAGGAACCAAGGCTGGCCCATTGGATTAATATCCTACTATACATTATATGCTAGTTGCTGATACGCTTAGACTAGTAGATCTGCATGACTACCTGTGATTTTTGTCTGCATGATTATTTGTCTGTTGCTTATGTTTGTTCACTATTATATGTTGACGTATTCTGTTAGGTTGTGGTTGTATTGCTTTATGTTGTAGCCAACAAAACCCGAGAGCATTCCAGATATGAGTTGAGGGTTAGTTGGCATGCCAGACTCATACTGAGGGCTCGGGGGCATTCCAAATACGAGTTAAGGGATGGTTGGTATGACAGACTCGTACTGACGGCCTAAGGGTATTCCAGTCTGATTACTGAGTGAACCCATTATACATTGGCATTCTAACGTTGGGTATTCCATCCCGAGGATGATTGGACTCGGAGGTTGATTAGGCCTGAGGTATTCCAACCCAATCGCTGATTGGACCATACATGTTTATATATATATATATATATATATATATATATATATATATATATATATGTTATATGATATTTGTTTGTGTGTTGGTACATTGGGGGAACTTAATCACCTTTGGCTTACGGTTTTTAGTTGTTGTTTCAGGTACTTCTAGTGAACGCAGGAAGGCAAAGGTGTAACCATACACATCCTCTATTTATGAAATTATAATTGTGGGATACTTTGATATGGATAAACAATTTAAAAACAATGATTTTGTAAACATTTTATGACTATGGGTTATTTTTAAAAGTTTTAATTTGTTTTGAATTTTGAGTCGTTACAGATATATCAAAGTTGATTCAAGTATTTCTAGACATACGTTATTTGATATTTGGGATGTTCGGAAGTCTTCTACAACGCAACATACTATTCTTCTTGTAAACACATTAGGGTATGCATATTCGTAGTATCATTTCAAATATTAACTCCCACATAATGTAAAAACAGTTTTTATCACCTTACTATTATTATTGTATTTTATTGTATTTATTGTATTGTATGTGTAAAGTAATACTTATCCCCCAAATAAAAGTGAAAAATATTTGTTATGTCTCATGTTTTTCTATTTCATTGCATCACTAAATGGGGTGAAATATTATGATAATATCCCTTTTTAGCAACATTTTTCTTAAAAGTAAATTTATGAATTCAATTAAATATACAGTTATATTTTCTTAAATAACTAGAATATTTTTTATGATAATCTTATATGGATTGTAGTGACTGTTTATTATATTTACTTTTTGATTATTATAAATATAATATTCACTGATTATAGTTAAATAAGTTATCTATAGTAGTGTCCCAATATTTTGGGAAAAGTGTTTAACAGTCCTAAAAAAGTTGAATAAAAAATCCTAATAAATCGGATAAACCTAAGACTTTAATCCTTTTTATAAGGTACCCCTCGTTTTACCGGTTACACATGTCCATGTGGACTGGACATGTTGAGGTAGATGGTGATGAATCGTCTAAGAAGGAGGTGCTATTGTAGTGATCTCATTGGAAGATGGACTTCATGGACTCCTTTAAACCTAGGAACAAGGTGTATAGGCTACCAGAATTACCATGATGAATTCAAAGACTCCAAATACTTTCATTGGGTCAATCCTCCTCTACCAAACCAGTGGTATGAAAATTTGTTACCATAATTTCATAGCTATGTTAATCTGGAGAACAATATTATATTTGGAGAGTTTGGACAACAACAAATTGAGGGAAAATTTTTTGGAGACATTATGGAACAACCAGTGGCACAACAACCCATTGAAGGAGTAGACATTCAACAACATAATGGAAATGAAGGTGGAAGATGGAAATAATTATTTTATGTGTTTATGGTTTCTTTTGTGTTTGTGTTGGTGATGTTGAAGGATTGGTAGGATACACAAAAGATGGATGACAAGTATTGTTTTGGTTGTGTTTGTTTGGCTAGTATTAATGTGTTTTGGTTGTGTATGTTAGGGTACTATCAATATTTTTTGGAGTATATGTACTATGTACTATGTTGTGTCCCATTATGAAATGAAATGACTAAACAAGTTTATGTTTATGTAGTACTCTTAGTGTTTCCAATGTAATCATGAATGAATGGAATCTATAAACAATGGAATTAACAATGAATTGAATCAATAAACAAATATGATCAATAAAAAATGGAATAAAAAATGACTGGACTCAATCATGAGTGGAATCAATAAAAAAAGACGATCAATAAACAATGGAATCAACAATGATAGGAACCATTTATGACTGGAATCATGCATGACCGAAATCAAGTATGGATGGAATCAAACATGTTTGAAATTCCATTGGATGAACTCATTCCCTTCCTATTTTTTACAACCACCACATTCTTTAATTGTATTTTTGTTGTCCTCTCTGAAGGCTTCCTCATTCTCAGTTTTGGATTCCTCTTTCTCATGTCCTCTTGATCCATGCCTCTCCACACCTATACCCTCCTGATTCATCCCCAATACATCCATGTCATCTTCATTGATTCCCTCCTGATTCATGCCCTCTTGATCCATGCCCTCCTCACGTATGTTCTCTTGATCCATCCCATCTAGATCCATATTCTCTTCATTTATTCCCTTTTGATCCACCCTTGTATACTCATTCACTCTTGATTTATTCCCTCATGATTCATTTCATCGGCATCCATTCCTTCCTCATCTCTAAATGCTTGACTTTCCCCTTCTGTTATGGATTTTGCAGCTACCCAAAACATGTTTCTGGATTCTATCCAAGTATACACTTTCCTAAATTTGGCATAAATATGCCTAGCGTATTGTTTATGATCTACATGGGGTAGAATTCCCTTTGTTGTGTCAAGAAGACCCTAGTAAATGAATAAGTATATTAGTAATTGTTATTAGCAAGTGTAATAAATGATATGTGAATAAAGGAATATATCATTACCTTATGTTAATCATTAATGACACATAATCCCCTACTAACATCCAATGAAAGATTTTCACTAACTAGTTCCAAGAACCATTTCCAATTAACCTTGAATACAACCTCAACAATATCCCATGTTATAGGGTAAATTTGATTATTTGCATTTCTACATATTGTAGTTAGTAGCTCACCCTTGCATTGTCCATTTAAAAACGGCCATCCAACCCTATAACCCTACGACATCCTCTTTTCCACCCTTCTTTGATTGCTTTAAAACATAGATATATATTCTATGAAAATTTGTTGTATGATCATGGTTAAGGTTAACAGAAATCCTAACTATGCTACCTGGATTGGACCTCATTAATTTATGTGCATAATCCCATATTCTTTCCTAATGGTCACTTAATTTTCTATCAGTTAAGGAAGGTTCCCTAGACCTTGTTTTATAACACTTTGACCATTAGACCATGCAACGAAAATTACTTTGAATTAATTCATGCATTTCCTTGCATTTTAACTTTGGTTTCCTTACTAGTTCTTTCATAAATTTCTTTGCTAACCAAGTTGGATTCATAAGTGATGAACTACTAAAACTCCTAACACATGTCTGTCTATCATTCATCTTTTTCACCTCAAATGATTTTTCGGTACTCATCCCTGAAACACGAACTATAAAAGTGCGTTTTTCTAGATCACTTGGACATACAACCACTAGTTTAACAGTATCACACTTCCTGAAATGAATTTTGTAACCCTTATAGATTGAATAATTTGTTAAACATAATTTCAGTTGATGTTCGAATTCATATCTTTCTCTAAGAACTGATTTCATAACATTCCATTTGACCTTCAGATCATGGATGGCATATTCGAATACATCTTCATCAGTATCTTCCTCAGTATATTCTACAATCTCTTTCTCATCATCTACTTCACCATAACTGCTAGTCTCCACTTGACCATGCTCTCCTTGACCTCTCAGTGCTTGGTCATCACTTTATTCACACAGAACATTAAGAAATTCATATGAGCTTCTTGAAACTGACTTTCTTTTGAAAAAATATCAAGTCGAACATCGATGGTATCCAACTCAAATACTTCATCCATCGACAAAATCTTTGCATTAAATGAGGCTTTGGATGAATCGAAGGATTGTCAAGAACAAAGGAGACAAGAAGAAAGGGGTTCTTTAAAAACCCTAAACAAATAAAGTCAATGTACACAACACAATCACCATTAAGATGCCACATAGACATTTGTGACAGGTTAAATGAGCTTTTCCAGATGACAAGGATTGTGTTAGGTATATCCGGTTTATTGGACTATTTATTTAATAAAATAGGGCTTTTAAAAAAATCCCAAAATATTTGGACTTCATTTTAGATAACCCATAGTTAAATAATGTATACAGTAAAGTTAAGAACTATACTTTGTACTTGCATATAATTGTTGGATTAGATGTCTAAGCCCATAACTATTATTGGTATGTACTTGACCCGAGAGTAGCATGGTCCATTTGGGTTGCATATCATTAGGACAATTTGTTAGGATGGACTTTTGAGAGAAGGTTATTTATGGTTTATTAAAATATTATAAGTTATAATATATTAATATGAAATCATATGTTTTAATTAGTATCGATCAAGAATTAATTTGGAATTAATTTAGTGATCAAAAGAGACTAATTAAATCTATGGGGACTAATTATGAAATTAGTTATATTTATATGTGTTGGGCTTATGATCCATGTTGGACCAAGTTTATGTATGGATACATAAAGAGTTGGGCCACATGAACCATGGATCATAAAACCCATGGGTATGGATTATGGGTTATACCCATGACCCTTGGAATCCTACATATAAATAGGTTACTCCATAGCCAAAATCACCACTTCTTTTCTTAGAGAAATATGGACCGTGTTTTGGTGCATGGAATTTTCTCTCAAGAGCTACCTTTGTCCTAGGTGTGTTGTGATTCCATTTGAGGCTTTTGATACTATTGGTGCTAAGCTCTTAAGGCCAAATACATCAAGACTTCAAGCCACATAGAAGGTATGTTTCCCCAACTAGTATATTATATGGTTTATGTCAAATGCATGCTAGTTATAGGTTTAATGCCTTGGAAACCATTTGCATGTATAATTAGTGAAAACATAGAGCCAAGGTATTTAGGGTTGTATGTGCACCATAGGATGTTGTATTATACCAAAACCCAACAGTGGTATCAGAGCCATGGGTTGTTTTCTACTATATTTGATGCAAATGTATTTTTTTTTCAAGTTGATGAAAAAAAACATGAAGTTTGTCAAATTTTATGATAATTACTTGATTTTATGAAAAACTAATAATTTGTAAAATTTGAGTCACTTTACTACAAGAGTTGAATTAGATCAATTTATTAAAAGATAGAATGATATGATTATTTTATTTGTTTTAAAAGTTTGATCTAAGTGGTTTTAAGGAGTTACAAATTTTGTCATAAAATTTTGGAACTCAAAAGTTTTTTTTAAAGTTATGATCTTAAGAGTTTTGAAACTTCCATAAGTTATGGATGTGAAATGTCTCATTTATTAACTCTTTAGGTTATGAAGTCCAAGAGTCTTCAAAGGATAATTATCAAAGTTTCAAGATTTGTATTAGTTTATATGATTATCTAATTTCTTGAAAATTGTTGATATGAATTATCTTTACTTATGAGTTTAATCTAGATCATAGAAAAATTATTTGATTATTGTGTTAATTGGAATATTTGATCTTAATGGTTTTTATGAACTCCATAACTTGTCCTCAAGTTATGGAAAGTGAAGAGTTTTTCTTTTTAAAGTGTCATTAAGACTCATAGGTTATGAAAATAGAAGAGTCTCTATTTTTAATATCATCATTAAATGATTTAATGTCTTCCATACTTGTCCTCAAGTTATGGAACTTGATTTTTTTTTCATTAAACCTTAATTAAACTCATAAGTTATGAAAAATCCAAGAGTTTTGAAAGGTTTCAAAACTTGTCCTCAAGTTTTGGAATTTGTAAAGTTACCCCCATGTATACTTTAATTCCAAACTAGACCTTAGAATTTTAAAAGTTAAAATTCAACCCTTATACTTTATAATATTATAAGTTAATAATATTTATATATATGTATAAGAGTAAAGTCAGTCTTACCGTTAGTAGGCCTCATTCACGAAGCCGGTCTATAAGGGGGGTATAAGGTTACAGCCTATAAAATGGTAGTTTAATGGGTGTCCACTCTCACCCACCGCTTCCTTGACTAGTGGAGGGTCGTTAGCCGAACGGGTAGGACAAGGACTATAATTCTCCCTTCATTAAAAGTATTAATGACAAATCCTAAGTAACTAAACCAATAATAAATACCCAATCTTAGTTACTTAGGAAAATGTGAATAAGGTGCTAATCCATGAAATTACACTTTGCACATTGTTTAAGTCGGTTAGTGGAGCGTGTGTAGTTAACCGGCACACTAACTCGTATTTAACAAGGTAGGAAAAGGGTGACTTAATATTTATCATAGTATCGATGGAGCGTGTGTGGTTAACCGGCACATCGATTGAGGGGTAAACAGTTAAGGGTGCCAAGTAATTTGCATGGTTACTTCACACCTTGTTTTGTGATCCTCGGCATCCCAGTCACAAAACCTGAAGGGCTCACTCGAGATTGAAACATGCCATTGAACAGTTCAATGAATCTCAAAGATCTAGGAGTTTCAAATCCAATTAAAACCTAATAATACATTTCGTTTATCTTGGTGGAAATTGGTGAATCGTCACTCACCTACCTTCAAATATTTTATAGCTTGGATTACGGCATCCTTCTTCTAAGTTATAAAATAGTTTATTGGGTCCTAGCCTTAATATTTCATATTGGGTGTCATATTAAGGACTTTAAAATCAACTATCTTGAATATCTCCCAAAAGATGTCTGGTTTAGACATTTATGACCTTCCCAAATCTCTTGAAACAAGCTTTCCTAATGAAGATGATGTCTCATGGATATCATACTTCTTTCTCATCCTCCAATTATTCTCCCTAACCCACAAGTTCTTGAAAAGTTTAAGGTCACTAAAGCCCTATTGGCAAGGCAGGGTCTAGGTGTGATCACATCTTGGAGATGTAGTCACATATTGACAAGCCGGGAGAGTTGGGTGTCAAAGTCTTGAGAAAGTTGGTGGTTCAACTACTTTCTAAGTCACATAGTGAGTTCTTTTGGAACACCTATGAAACAGACTATGACAAGACCCTTAATGATCTTATTTATTTGCTAAGATCAACTTCCTAAAACTCTATGGACATTGACAATGATGACATTGGATATCTAGTAAAGCTCTCTCTTCCCAGTGGAAAGGGATCGGCCATAGTCAACTCGGTTGACCAAATGGTAAAGAGAAAAGCTAAGTCTGTGATAGTCTCGTGTACCATTACCAAAAAGGGTCCATATGTTTATATTGCCAAAGGAAGGGGCATTGGTTGCGAAGTTACCAAGTTTACCTAAGGATGTTAAAGTCAATAATTTTGACTCTACTTCAGGTAAAGTCCACTATCTAACTCTGTTAAGTTTCTATTCTGAGATTCTTGATACATGATGTGACTGGGTCACATGGTGATGTTTTAAGAATTAAAGAAAAGTGAAGAAACTTAAAGAAAGAATATGCTGAATCTGATCGAGTAGATGGATTTCTATCGCGTAGTTTGAAGATCGGATTCTTAAGCTACTTCTAAGGAGTTATGAGATATTGCTTAGGAATAGATAACAACAAGATTCATATGGATTGTAAGGATAAGTTTTTCCGCAAAGTTTTAAAATAAAAGGAAATTTTTGATTTTATTTATTTTAAAATATCCTTACAATGGCATTTGAGGAAAAATTGTTGCTTATATGATTCCATTAAGAGAAAGAGTGGAAATATGAAATTGATTCTTTCATTTGTGGTAATGTCTAGATTTACCAAATAAGGAAAGATTCTCATCACCCAAGTTTCAATTGGACCAGAACTTGGAATCATGCAAGTTGTATAGCATGATGAATGAGAACTTTCAAGTATTGGAAAATTAAGACTAATTACTTGTTCACATGGATGTGTGAGTCAAGTAAAGGACTAAGGGATCAAGTACATATTCTTGTGCACTGGTCAAGTCCACCATAAAAGATTAATAAGACTATTCGTTATAGTTTACTAAAGCTCAGTAAATATGATTATACTTACAAGATTAAGTGTAACTCTTAGACATTGAAAAAAGGTTCCAATGTAAGGCAGAGCGAATAAGAAGAATCAAATTAGGTAGAAGGATAAAAGTTTCTCAAATCTGAAAAGATGGGAGAGTACTTTAGTATCAGTTTACTGATCATCTTAATGATTAAGAAACCATAGCACAATTAGTTCTCTAAGGAAATCTTAGTGCATTCTTATGACTAAGAAGAGGGATCTTCAATTGTTGAAATGGTTAAATCAAGAAGATGAGTCATACTTCGTTCTAATACAAGTCTTAGAGTCATACTCCAAGATTGTCATTTGAGTGACATGTCTTAAAGAAGGTTTAAAACACTTGTCAAATGTAAGAGTAAAAGTTTCCTACTCTTGTACATTTGAAATTGGTAACTTGTGATGTTTTGGATAAAACAAAGACCAACTTAGGCCAATTGTGTGAAGTGTTTGTCTTGATTAGAATCCACACTATCTCTTGGATATTTGACAAGGAAGTCTTATAGGTTAAGAGGATAGTAGGAGTCTTAAAAGTCTTGAAAGTCTCGAGAACTAATCAAGAATAGAACATGAAGTTCTTCACTAGCACACGACTTGCGGTTTATAACCTATTGTGTTGACATATTCTGTGCCCATTCTAGTTAAAGTTGGCTTTGCATATGAGTTCTTAGAGTTCTCAATTTGTTGCACAACAACTTGGAAGCAATGGCAGGCCCTTGAGCTGCCAGGTGGCAAGAAATTAAGATTGAGTTCAGTCCATATGAGTTTTGATTTGTCATTACCCTTGTCTTGTGACTATGGTTTTGATAATTCACATGGATAAGAACACATACACCATTAAATCTAAGTGTCATAAGGTTTCTCTCCGATTCATGAAAATGATGATGAGGAAACACTTTCACTAAGTAGATTTTAGCTAGATAGCAATTGTGATATTTGGATTCTCAAAGTCGTTAGTGGAGTGTGTGTGGTTTACCGGCACACTAACCTGGACTTGTGAGAAGTGGCAAAAAGGTCTAACCATTATGATTACGACATCCC